TTTTAAATGCTTGCCAGTTCCTCCCACTAGTCCGACCGAAAAATTCCAGCCATGAAGTTGCGAGCTTCACTGGGATATAGCTTCAAAATGCAACCGTTCGTCGCAGCTGGGGCTGCTCAGTAGTTTGCTATTTGTCCAGACCAACAAGCTGGAGCATGCTGCATCCGAATAATGCCGGGAAAGCTTGCCTAACTGGGGGGGGATCCCACACCAATCAGGAATGGACATTAATCATGACTGATGACTGTGGAAGAGTTCGGCGCGGCATCTTTGTTTCGCTGCTCACTGTGAACTGACCTGCAGCTGTGATTTCATTCAGCAAGTGCAACCAGCCGCACCAGTGGCAAACCAGAAGGGAGTTCCACTTACCCACTTCAAAACGCTGCCATACACGAATTCTGGTTGATGAGGCCGCTGCATGTTGAATCCGACTGCCTGCATACAGTGTCCGCAAGGATTCTGCAGGAAGCATAACGCATGTTGGCCTCTTTTTAATTCATGCTGACGTCGCTTCATGGCATCGGGATGCTTGCCCACGCGAGCACAGCGAGATGGCGCTCAAGAGGCAGGGACAAAGAGTTGAAGGGTGGTTCAGATCCAAAACGGTCCTGGCAGGTGGGCCGTGCGCCAATTGTCAGGGTTCCTGTCGGACTACTTGGAGGGCATCACTGAGCAAAACCTGCAGGTTCCGGAGCAGTGGGAAAAGTTGCGCACATGCAGTATTTAGAGAAGCACAGTATCACGCAGTATCTGGAAGACATGTCAACATGCTGCACCTGCATGGCATCTTTCGGGGTTTCCCGTCCGCAACACAGCAACAACTCCGTCGCACAAGGCTTCCTTGAGCTTGGAGGTCGGTGAGGCCAAGCCACACGCTCCACTGTTTTGCTGTGCCTTCTACATCGACTTGTGCATATGTTTCGACGGCAGAGGTGGAAATCCGGCATGCCGTGAGCTTGGAATGACTTCCGGTGCGCTTCCCAGTGCCACCCAAGAAGCACCCCTAGGTTCGTGTCCATGGAGAACTTCTCAAAGATCAGCACTTTTCCTTGCTTAGCAGCGATGTCAGCGTGTCAGCCTCAACGAAGCACCATCGCTTTTGCGTGCAGTCTTCTCGACGTGCCTCGCCTTTCCCACCCAGGTGTTTGCACGGATCCCTTGGCGAAATCTCGGTTCTGAGCCAACTGCGACTGCCTTACATAGCTTGCCTCCCATGCCTGAAGCAATTTGCATGGACGTGCGCAGCTGCCGAAGGTCATCACGGTAAAAGATGTTTGGATAGAAGTGGAGGCTAGGCGATGACCGTTGATGGTCCGATTCCAAAGTCCATGCCAGTGGCCAGGCACGTGCTGAGGCTTCGGCCAAATCAGTGGACCCTGCGGAGGCGAGTGGTGCAGTTGGCAAAAACAGGGGAAGAACGGAGACTTCCCGACTTCTGCCTTTAAATTTGAAGTACAACTCTCAGCTAGGCAGAGCAGGATAGATGTGATCGGTGGTAGACAAGCAGGCCAGGGCAAAGGCGGAGGAGGAGCTGCAAAGGCAAGACGTCGTTTTGTTGTGAACATTTTTCTTGTGGTCCTATAATATGTTATCGGAAGTGCACCGGTGAAAGTTCAGGTGGAGAGAGCGAAAAAGAAGCAAAGTTGAGGTTGGTTCTGAGTTCTTGAGTCACCCAGTGCAAGAGCTGGTGCCGAGCCGTTTGCTGGCCGTGACCAGGCACGAGTAGAATCAGCACGACTTGCGAACACTGAAGAAGCACAGCCCAAGCCAAAGTTTGTTGAGGAGGCAAGCACGGTTTCTGCGTCGTGCCTCCTTTCCAAGGCCCCGACGTGGAATGGCAGCACGGCTTGGCCATGCGAATTTCTCAGCTCTGCAAAATTCTGCAAAGCTCTGCTTGGCAGCTTCGCTTTGATTTCCCTCGGCTTCAGACAGCAATGCTGACAGGCAGCACTGCGTCAGCTGCAGGTGGGGAAAGGAGTAAATGAGCGGCCTCTGGACACTTTTTGCAATGACTTGTGACATCTGGTGGCAGGTCAGGGTGGACGGCTTGAGAGCACGCGTGCACAATGAGGCGCAGATCATAGGTCAAGCCTCCTCTGTGACTTTGGGGATCCTTCTGACTCTGGGATGTGCACCTGCTTGAAAATTTGAGGTCGTCTCATCAACCTTGGATCTTTCGCTGGTCCGGTTGGCTTTGGACGAGGGCAGCTCCAATCCGGATCATAGGACCGAGGTGCCAGCGGAGGCGCGCGGGCGCTGTGAAGTGTTATAGAGGGCCAGGGCAGGCTCCGGCAGGCTCCCTCTCTTTCAGAAAGGTGCAGCGCCATCCGGCATCATTGGACAAGATCTTGGAATTGGTGGGGAGCCCAGGGCCTGCGAGCTGCTCGCACACCTTCCGTGAGCACCAGCAGAGGTCGGGCTTTGCGGACAACGGACGATTTCAAGCAAAGACAGCCTTGGGCCAAACGTACTGCGGGAGCTGGTCAACGCTGCGCTTCAGACGCCAAGGCTCCAACTTGTGGCCATCTCTGCGGTCAGGGGCCTCAGTTCCTCAGCACCCGGCAGAACGGCAGTCTGGTCTGTAGCTGTCTCCGTGTTGCGGGCAACTGTGGCTCCGAAGATATAGGCACACAGGAGTCAGGTGTCCCACACACGGCAGCTCAAGCAGTGTACGTGAGCAGTAAACATGACAACGAACGGAACTTCACTGTTGAGCTGAAGTACGCATTGCGTTTCCATTGACGGCATCGTGGCATCATGGAGCTTGGCAGCTCAGTGCAGGTCGACTTCCCTGGAAGGGTTGTCGGGTGAGTCGGGGTTTTTCCGAACCTATAACACAACTCTCGTCACAAGTTGTCGAGAATAGCCCTGCAATGAGCCAGGGCCCCGTGGCTCGCGCGCATGCGGCTCGTATCGACGAGCCACGCGGTGCTCCTGCCAGAGGTGCGCCTTTGCCAATTTTCGCGATGCAAGAAGATTTTCCGGACTAGTTCACCGACTCCTCACAGTTCTACGGTTTGCATGCATGGCGTCTCGCGTACCTATTGAATTTGGCACCCTGACCGATTGCAGCTCGCAGGTATCCAAGCGGCAACACAAAGAAAGAGATTTGCCACGGCGATCGGCTTTGGCATCTCGCTGAATTTGGCTTGGGCCGGCCAAGCACAGGCCCGTTCACGAAGTCTGCGGAAGGCCCATGGCCAAGGCCGTCACGGGCGTCGAGAGGTCCTGTCGATCGGAGTGGTGACTCCACTGGTTGCGCCGTTGGCAGCCAAAGCGGAAGCGGAACCCCCAACGGTGTCAAAGAAGGTTGCCGAAGGTGTCTACATCTTCGACCAAGCATATGGCATCCCTGGGCTTGGAGTTGGTCCTTGCCTCGGCCGTCGGAGAATGCAGGAATGGGCTCCTAAGCCGCAACTACCGCATCTCAGGTGCCAATATTCCCATCCGCATGACCGTGCTCAGCCTGGAAGGCGGTGGCTACTTGGTTTACAACCCATGTCACCCAACTGCAGCAGCTTGGCTGCACCTCCCACTTTGCTAGCAGAGCAGAAGCTTTCAAGTGCAGAGATCACGCGTGGTGATTGTTTCAGGAGGCTATGCAGATGTTGAAAGAGTTTGGCCTGACAGACGTGCGATATATTGCTTCTGGGCTGGCATGTGTCACCAGCACCTTATATAGGACCTAGGCACGGAAATAAAGAAAAGTATTGCGTCGTCTGAGGTATGTGGCACTGTTGCCATTGAGCACAAGTATTATGCCCCCCAGTGGGCACAGCTCTTTCCAAAAGCGGAGGCACCGATTTGGGATCTGGGCGGAGTCAGGCGTTGCAGATTTTGCGTGCACCCGCGGCTGACCAGGTGTGGATAAGTCCACGGACATTTAGCTGGCCGGTTGATTTCGGACCGTATGCTCCAAAGCTGCATTCAGTTTCGATGCTAAGTTCATGTTGCAGAAACAAGAGATCAGCTCTGGACCAGGTTCCAGTGGGAGGCTTTTCAAGGAGCACACCACTGCAAAAGATTCCCAAAGATGCATCGTTGGCACCTTGGTCCTCCAAGGCCATGCTGTGCTCTCTGCCGGATACATGGAGTCACAATGGGGTCGAGCCAGGTGCCTGTCAAACTGTCATGAAGTAAGCTGGCAGGGCATCGACCATCTTCAACTGACCGTTGACTACGCACCGCGAACGGTCTTTGAAGAGACGGTGCTCTTCCACAAACCGTCTGGCAGCTTCGTCTGCACTGCCTCCTGGCAGCATTGAGAGGCGGCGTTGGTGCTTGTTCTGACCTTGGCGTGGTGAAGTGGTGATGCAGGACATGCTGATCGGTCTGTCGGATGAGCCGCCGGAGATATTGACTCTGTCACCCTACAAGGAAGGACTTCTTTGGTTCTCCCGCGATGAGCCTTTGGAAGAGGCAGGCTTCGCAATTCAACATTTTGAGAGGCAAAACCTAGTTGGCCGTTGGCAAAACTGTCGGACATTCCACGACGGGCAATGCAGGTCGACGTCAGCAGTCCAAAAACACTGAAGGATGGATACCAAAAGCACCTCGGTTTGAAGAGGCTGTTGTGTGACAGGCTCTGTCTGACTGAAGCCGGCCGAAGACAGGTCTGTACTCCTTCTGAACAACATCAATCCGCGATCGCTGCTCTCAGTTGCAGCAGGTAGGACATGCTGCAACTCTACTCATGCTGCATCTCTGCGCCGAGCTCCGTATCAGGCGACTTGGCTGTGCCGAAACAACTTGGCTTGGCATCCAAAGCGCCACAGAAGGAGCTGGGATACTTTGGCTGGTATCCGAGACTCGGCGGAATCCCAAAAGGTTGATCGATGTCCCCGGAGGCATTGGACGGAGTTCGATCCTGGGCAGCCTAGGTGCAACTGGCAGGCGTCCGATTCGCCATGCGCCAAATTAGATGATCGCCTGCTTCCGTCGAAGGGGAGCAAGACCTTTGATTGCCGTCCAGGCTAGTTCTCCAGATTTGTTTCATTGCTACTTGATTTTCCATGTTTGCTAAGACCTCGCATGCTGGTATTCACTGTGCACAGCACGGGTTTGGATTTGCATTTGCATCAGACTGCCACCAGCTCGCCGGCATGTCCGGTACTGCAGTCGCCGGAACTATCGTACTATCTGTTCTCCGACCACGCCTTTGGAACGACTGCAACCCTTTTCAGCTCTGCTCGGTTGTATGCGTCCGAATGAGTTGATCACGGAAAGCACAAGCTACAGCCGCATAGTTGCCGCAGCTAGCTGGGTAGGGTTCACAAGCTAGTATCGCACAGTTCACCCACCTGTTTCAGATGGCGCGTTTTCGAGAGAGACAGTGAATCTCGCCCTTCGCTCTGCAGGCTGGCGTGGAGAATGGACCAGGTTGGCTGCTGGGGTTGAAGGGACCGGATTCCAAGTTCCAAGCTTCGTCGCTGAGCTCCAAGTCAGCCGCGATCCGGAGACGTGCGGAGCTTGGATCTGTGGTCTGAGAAATTCTGAGAAACACAGGCCGGGAATACTGCATTGCAAGGTTGGGCAGCGGAACGTAACACAACTTGCATGATATTATTGCATGCATCTGCTTGTCACGTGCTACCAGAAATTACACATGCAGGACAACGCAGTCTTGACATTTGTGCTGAAAGTGCGAAGTCATCTCAATTTGCCGAGGCTTGACAGTTTTGCCAAGGAGATATCCCGAAGATGGCCAGGAATAAAGAAGGTGATCTCTTCGCACTTCAGCTCTCCATTGCCAGTGTCGCGGCAGAGATCTGAAATCCAGTCAGTGGTGCAGGGACTTTTTGCAGACTCAAGTGCGAGCAAGGCATCCAGCGAGAACGTGTCAAAGGCTATATCTGCCGTTTGTCGCGGGCCACCCGGCCCAGCAGCACGAGCAGCGGACCTCAGTGCGATCCTGAACTTCCGCGACTACTTGGAGGAAAATGCGCCGTGCCTGAGATAGTAAGCTGGTTTACCACTTCGCTTCGTTGTTGTCGGCCGTGGCATGGTTTCCAAGGACTTGATATACAAGCCCGCCAAAGGGCGAGGAAGCTGGACCGCCTGAAGCAGCGGTTCTCACGTACAGAGGTCCACAAACTAGACAGAGGGCAAACTAATGCAACTGGTCGACATGATCGCTCATGTGCCACGAAGGACCTCTGTGCTTTGTTTACATCATTTTCCTGTCAGCACGAATGCATGGGATGCCTTTGTGGAGAGACTTCCATGCCGTGCAGCTATGCTTTGATAATCTCGTAGCCCGACCTGCATGGTTGAGGAAGAATTAATTAGTTCAGGATTCCTCGGTGGAACCACTGGTTGCGGGGTGAATCCATTTTTAACTATTTTACCGGCATGTTCGTGAAATAGGGAGCCTGAGTTAGACTAGTCACTAGTCTGCCGCAATAGTCCTCTTTTGTTTTCCAATAAACAAAGAAGCAGATGCGAGTGGCTTACACGTGTTTCTATGTTGGCACGGCTCCAGAATGTGACATGCTACAGTGATGCGACCCGATTTTTCATCTTACGCATAAACGCTGTGTATGCGAGTGTATGCAAAGTGTATGATATGGCGTCTGCTGCTGCAGCAGAGTGTGTTTGTCTCTGTGTGTGTGTGTGTGCTTGTGTCCACAAGCCGGCATTGGGATCGCGTAGACCCGATAGGCTATCCGATAGACCGCATTGATTATGCTGCGCGCTCATTGGTAAAAGTGGCCGTCTGTCAGGGATCTCCAAGTTCCTCTCCATGCACTTTTGTCAGTTCTCGAAATCCGCAAAGACTGTGTCGAGGCACGACCTTGAAGACCTGCAGCGACGTACTCGACTTAATAAATCCTGCTTGGACGGAGTGCTTCACTACCGGATGGGAGCTGCAAAGGGCTGGAAACGGCCGATGCTGGCATCCTCAGTGAGCTTACAGAACAGCTCGGACGCATCAAGGCCTTGCTGAGCAAAGTGTCTCTGAGTGATGCACTCAATTCACGACATTCAACAGCAGATCAGAAGTCTATAGTCAGCGAGCTGACCTCATGATACAAAAAGAACCCTGGAAATTATCAAGAACTCCGGCATGCGACAGGCTGCACTGGTTTGCGTCCAGGGAGAGACAGCTCCGCTGCCCGAGACCCATCCTGACCGATTACAGCAAGTGTGCAATGTGTCGATGACAGTGTGGCATATGCTTCGTTTTCGCACTGGTACTTTGGAAGAGAGAGCTGGACATTTGGAGAATGAGGATATAGACAGTTTTTTGCCATAGATTTTGGGCTCAAGCGAAGTTGTGGCTGCAGCGAGTTGCCATGGAATCGTGCCCGGAATGCGGCAGCACGGAGAATATCGTGCTTACGAGATCTGTTCTCCAGTGCCGGTCGTGTGGCATCTCTAGATGCAGGCTATGCAAGAATATGTGGAATGTCGACCACAGATGCGCCACTTCCGTGGCATTGGCCAGATCTTGGGAAGACTTTAAAGATGTGGCGACCTATGAGATGCAGTTGCGGCCTTTAGGTTTCAAGCGTTGTCCGGCCTGCCAACTTGCTTGTGAGAAGCAAGATCCCTTGTCTTGCGACCACATCACCTGTGTTTGTGGGCATGAGTTCTGCTGGATGTGTGGCGAAGACCGTCGTGTAATCAAGGCCGGGTTGGGACACAAGCGTGTGCTATGCACAGGAATTCCTTCGTTCTTATGTTTCTTCCAAAAGTGTTGAGACTTTCGCTCCCGTTAGGCTCACGACAACAGCTACCATCACAAGCGCTGCCCGTTCTATGAGCCGTGCGATGAGATACCACGGCTGGAGAAGAATTGCCCAGTTTGCCAAGCAACTGGAGTGCCGTGCTTGCGTCCTCCCCAAGCACATGCAGCACGCAGGGCAGCGATCAGACAGCAAGCTCTTGGTCTGGAAGTGCGGCGCTTAAGAGAGGGCATGGAGCAGAGTGATGGAGCCATCATCACGGAGAAGACAGAGACACTTGGCAGATGTTCAGCTGATACTGTGTGACTGCTGCTGGATGTCCCCTCGAGCACGATGCCTCGGCAAATCTTGGCGATAAGGGCAGTGCAGAGACCGGAGCACCCCTTCAACTTGGAGGCACTCTCGCAGCTGCTTTGCGGTGGTCCGCTGGCGTCTTGCTGCAGGGTCGCCTTCTTAGTCGCACTGAGAGAACAGTCTCCGTATACCTTGGAAGATGCTGTAAAGCGAAGCCAAGCCGAGGTGTTGAATTCTGATCCACCAGCCCGCCGCTGATGGCAGCCATGTACGGCTGGCTGTGACAGCTTGTACTATCTTGCACTTGAAGATTTGCCATCTTGCAGCCGTGTTGAGCTCAGCAGGCCCTTGCAGGGTTTTTTCAGCTTCAAAGAAGCTTGACGTTGAGCTTGGATTGGCCACCAATTCGTTTTGCGCCCTGGCAGTGCCAGGCAGAATTCACAGCACGGAGGTGGTTTGAGCTCATGTGCTGTGCTGGAGCTGTACTTGTACAGTTGGTACAAACCCATGATGTAGATGCAAACCTCGTTATCGCGCAAGCGATACAGTGACAAGTGGCGAGCAGAATAATCCTCTGAGAAATGCTGCAGATGGTACAAGAGTGCCCGTGATTGTAGCGTTAGTTGAACTATAAATGTTGATGAAACACATCCTAGCTCAGGATTGGACCACTCTCGCTGGATGCCCGCCTCTGGCATTCTCAAGCTGGTGGCATTTTGTGGAAGTGCTGGCGCAGATTGTGTGTAAAATTCGCCTTGCAAGAGAGCTCGTGCTCGCACGGGCGTTTCTTTGCGTGGCAGGCTCCAGACAGAGCTGCAGGCCTGCAGCAGGATTCTTTTCATCAGGTTTGGTGTTAGGATGTTGAGGCCCAGAACTTCTGCCGCATCAGCATTGCTGCTTGCCAGATCTTGCCAGTTTGACTTTTTATGCAACAAGGAGCATAGCAGCCACAGCCTCACGGCATCTCACAGCGACAAGGTTCGGAACATGCCGCAGGAACTCAGCGGCCCTATGCCCAGGAGAGTCTAAAGTACCGACAATGCCAGAAACACCATTGGGAGTCTGGGCGTAGTGCAGCATTCTGGCCCGAAATGAAGCATTACATCCCACCGCTCCGCTCAGAAATTGTCGGGTTTGTCTCAGCGAGAATGCCTATACCTTACCTCAGCCAAAGAAGGCCACCCAACTTGGCCCTCGCGAATAGACACTTTTGCTCCGACCTGCAAGCCCGTCCCATTCCGCGGCCTGAGTTGCCCTTGGCTTGTCAAACGTGCTGAAATCCGGCGGAGGGGGCCCAGAACCTTCACAGAGCTTCGCTGACCATCCACAGAGTCCGAGTCTCCTGGATATCAGTCCTAGACCCTCGAGTTCATCCCTAAACCCGAGCCCTCTCACTCCTCGCAGGTCTCAGAGGCGAGCGCAGCCATCAAATTGTCCCCCGCCAACGCGCAGCCGCCTCGCGAGTTGCAAGAGAGTGCGGCTTTCTATTGCTCCTACTTGGCCCAAGGACATACATTAGCCATCTCCTCAACTGGTACCGATCTGAGTTTGAGACCCAGAAGGCATGACACAGATTGCCAATCCATCCACAGGTACAGCGAGGCAAATCTGGCACCGAGGGCATTGAACTCTCGAGATGGCACATGCGCTTACAACAGATGGCAAAAGAAACTGTTGAGTTCGGGTTGAAAAGCCGTCTGCGCTGAGGTGGAGATGCTGTTGACGTGGCTCCTCGGTTTCAAGTCACTTTCTGGTAACCACCGAAGACCCACCAGCCTACGCATGAACCAGCCATTTTGGCGACATCCTGCAGGTGCCTCTCCCATCTGGCACGGAGTATTCGGAGATGTGCTCCCTTGAAGCAGTCGCCGTCAGAGCAAGAAGGAACCCTTATCGCAGGTGCGTCCGCCGAGCCAAAGGAGACCAACTGCAGGGAGACGAGCCCCTGCCTAATCTTCGACATTTGGATTTGCAAGACGATGATGGACTCTGATGGACCGCTCCGACAAGTTGCGCTCGGAAGGCACCGGCTCACCGAGATAGAAGACCTGGCGCCTGTGGAGTGGTTGGCCAGGCCAGTCTGATCCGGTCGACCGGCCTCGTGCGGGCTCGGAAGCGCTGAGGTGGCAACTGAGAAGCTTGGAGCAGCTGGGGCATGAAAGCGTTGCGTGGCAGCCTCAGCTGTGTTTCTCAAACTGCAGTGCGGGCGCCGCAGGCTCAGAAGTGACTCTAAAGTGACAGACTGAAAATTGACAAGGATGCGACAAGCTTCAGCTTCTGATCATGAATGCTTTATGCTGGGCCACTGCTGAGTAGCATGTAGCCGAAGCTCTGAAATTGCCAAAGACAGCTCAGCGCGGCAATGCACGCCAAGCCTCAGTTGGCTTCCGTACACTGTGGAGGCGTGACACAGGCGAACGGAATTGCCAGTAGACATGCACTTGGGAAGACCTGCGAGAGGGAGTCCTGAGGTCCTGAGTTTTCGGGCAGTCTTCTGGCGACTTATGTCTTTGGCATCCAGACAGTTGTTTGCAGCGATGTGCGCAGACAGGTCGCAGCCACCGGCGCGACGGGGCTTTGCAGATACCTTGGCTCGTCTGCATGTCAGTATCGATCCTGAGTTCGAAGCTCTCAAGGTGGGGTGGTTGCGAGGAGCCTCGGATAGGGTTCCAGTCTTACTGTGCGCTCGGGAACTGTGTGGCGTCGGGCCTTCCGAACTTTCTGCTCAGGCGACAGCAACAGCATCGCAAGGCCAGGTCGCCACGTGGATCTCACTATGCCTTTGTGTCACTGCGTGGGCAAGGCGAGGATGACGAGGCCTTGGAGGACATTGCTGGCTTCTTAAAGTCTGGGATCACGAGGGCTCCATTTGCTTGTGGAGAACGGACCCGAGGTCGAGGAAGCTGGGAAGCAGAGCTTTTTTGAGGAGGTTCGGACGGGCAGTGCCTTCGCCTCGCTGCAAACGGGGGCCATCCTTGCATCGAATTTTGCAGGTAGAGGAACCTCGAAAGCTTGAGGCACTCAATTCCGCGAGAGAGAGGGACAGTCCTAGCCGCCCTAGCAGTAGAGTTGTGAAATCTGTGCCTCGTAGCTCGCAGCTTCCATTCGCAATTAAGGTTCGTCTTGCGATTCCCCACTGTACAATTCTTTCGTGCTCTCCAGCTCTCTCGTCGAGCATGATGCTCAGCCAAAGGTTTTTTGTCTTTACACGGGTGGCAGTGACAGACCCAGGTCCAGTCCCAGATTTGTGCATCGAAGGCGGTCGGATCCCCAGGAGGTCACCTTCCCTCATATCAAACACTGCTTCAGACAAGGTGTTCAATGTCAACTCTCACTCGCCACGGCTCGAGAAGGTGTCGTGGAACGCTCGTTGGGATCATTTTCCGGAAGTTGGCCTTAGCCTAACTTAGCCTCATGTAGGCTCCATGGCTAATTTCATGAAGGCTGTTCGAACCTTGGATCGTCAGCACATTGCCCAAACTGTCCTTGGTCTACTTCGCCCAGGCCTGGGATGCCGATGCCACCGGGACTCGGAATGGAAATAAACATAGCAGCTCCATGATCCATCGTGCAGCTTTGTTATGCCATGGCCCGGCGAGGTGAGTGCCAATCTCTCCTCCGTGGCTGTGTTGCTCGGAAAGGCTGATATCTCCGTGAAAACGGCCTGCGAGACAGCCAAGTTGGAGTTGCGCAGAGCTTCAGGAACCTTTGATGCTACTTCGCCGCAGCGCAGATGCTACAGCCTCAGTTTGGCGGACAGCAACGAAGTCCCGCACCCGCACTTGCGTATGCAAGAGCTTCCTGAGGTCGAAGTCACACTGCCCGCTTCCCAGACTCGATGAAGCCTGACGCGAAGCGATTGCTGAGTAATTGCTAGGCTCTTTGCATAAGGCCGAAAACGGTATCCGATGCTGACGACGAGGAGTGCGGGACATGGACTGTTAGCTCGGATGCGGCACATCAGCAGGCAGCTGTTGCATGCTTCCGCCGGAGCCAATGAGACCATACTTCCCGATGACGGATTTTGGAAGTTGGTTCCAAGGTTCTTCGATGTACAAAGCGACATCGAGGTGGGAAACACTGTCTGTGGCGACTCTCTCAAAACACTGCGAACCCTGAACCTTGAAGGAAACTACAGACAGCGCATTGCAGGAGGCCAGTCTTGTTGTTCCTCATGGTCATGTCGCTGTTGGTTCTTCAACGGAAACACGTCTGCCAAGGCTGCGGTCACACTGAGACTTCATGTCGCACGCTTCGGGGGAAGTGCTCGAGCCCTTGAAGTCGCATTCGGAAGGCTTCCATCCCAGCCCATGGCTAAGGCTGGCTCGAGCTCCTTGCCCTGGGCACTACGCGTGCGGCTGAAGCAGGAGAGGTCCCCATGTCAAGCATCGAAGAACTGGGCCAGCTCCGGAAAATTGCGTGGGCTTTTTGCCATCAGCTTTCTGGTGTGTGTGTGTGTGGGTGCATGGGTCCTCACAAAGAGTAGCTCCACACCAACCATCCTCATGAGATCGTGTGCGCCTCTGTGTGTGTGTGTGCGTGCGCGTGCGCGCGCGCGTGCGTGCGTGTGTTCTTGCGCAGTGGCAGTGCCGAACACAGGCTACGTAACGGCAGTGTGCACAGGAGTCTTCCGAATGCCGATGTGTTCCCAGAGTGCCAAGAATCGTAGCAGACACGGAAATCGATTGGGAATGCACATGTGAGCTGAGGTGTGTTTGTAGACAGTGGACAAGCAGATGCATTCTGCAGTATGCGTTGAAGAGCCTTGACGAAGCTGGCGAAATTTGCTTGGCAGGAACCCTTCAGGTTCATGCTTGCACCTCACAGTGGGCAGCTTGATGAAAGCTCTGTGTAAGCGGTGTGTAAATCCGACGGAAGCAGGTATGCACGATGCCTTGAGCATGGTCGTGGCAGTGGCCAGATCCTTCATTGAACCGGATGGATGTAGAATGCCAGAGACTCTCAGTCAATGTGTGCCGAGTTTAGAGCAGCTACTTCCTGCCGCCGCAGTTTTCTCAGTCGCCGGGTCACCAGGAGCAGGTCAAGGCCTTTCAGATGCTCTCACTGAGGTGTGTCAAGTCCATCGGATCCTTGCATGAACACGAACCTCGTCGAGAGAGGCGCCAAGATGCAGTTTGAGTGTCTGACTTGTGCCATTCCTCATGTCAGCGCAGAGACAGCACCACTAAACCAGAGAGTCAATCTCATGTTCGTCTTTCCTGCTGCGCAGATCCGAAGTCGCCCGCCGCAGCAGCTGACCATCTGGAGGCGAGCTCCAGAACGGCAAACGCCGGAAGCGCGTTGACATGCCGTGAACGTGCTCAGGCGCCTCCAGATGCATCCGAGGCGGCGCGTTTATATGTTGCATACATTGACATGTAAGCAGACACGTGCATGTCCACTTCATAAGGCCCTGGCTCTGGACCTGGATTTGGATGTCATGCACTTAGCTCTGCCTTGACCTGCCGTTGCACGCAGGGCAGCATGACCCATTGCGCCCAGTTCCACAGTCAAAGTGATGTTGCAATTGTAGCATGAGGTAATACACTAGTAGCGTTCTTTTTCGACTGCTCGCTGTGGGCCAGGTTTTCTGCGCAACTTTCGCTTTTCTCGATGTGTCTCCTGCACCAAGGTTGCAGCTCCAGTTTTTCGTGTGAAGCCTACGTTGTCATGAGCATTTGTCGTACATTCCGCCCTTGTGTGCACACGCTGCTGGCCTGTTTTTGCGATCATTGTGCAGGTTGGGGTCTATTGCCCTCGGGACACGTGCAGGGCTCAGTTCAGCATATATGTCGGGGCAGCGTGCGCAGCCTGTTCTGCTGGAAAGGTCACCATCGCCCTCGGTCGCTTGATTTTCCGCACGAGCAGTCAGCAGCCGCCAGAACAAGTCTCGCAACCAGAGAGGTTCCCACTGCTTGGTTCCGCCGAGTTGCTGAATGAAAAAACCGTAGCAGGTGCGAGTGGCGCAAGTTCTCTTGTTTTTGCCAGCTGACCGAGACAAGCGCATTGAACTTAGACAAGTAATGTAACCTGAATATGAATGTGCTGGTGATGATGCTTGCTCTCCATCCCTCTCTCCCGCATTAGGTGACGGCCCAATCGGAAGAAGCTGAGGAGTTTCGAGTGTCTTGGAAGACATGTGATATGAGTTTCTACAAAAACTGGCCGATCTTGCTGAGAGTCGCAGAGACCGAAGGTTTACGAGCCGGCAACCATGAACCTCCAAGCAAGATGCCCGGTGATGACTCCTGATCGATAGCTTGTTGTCAACCTGGAGTGCACATCATCCGCTGATGGCGCATGAAATGTCAAAGGCGTGGCGAGATGCAGAAACCAATGGCTGGTCGCTCCCTGAAAGCGCTGTCCTTTGCACGATTCCAGACTCCACCTCGGATGCCAGGGACTTCAGCCTAGAGAGCCCATCTGTCCGGTGGATCGTCGATCCACTCTTCTTGAAGGCTCGGAAGCCAAGGAAGGGAGAAAGATGGGGAAGGGAGTCTCGATCTTCTGCCATGGCAGGTGGCCGGACAGCTGCCAATCAGAGCAGCCCCCAGACGGGCCAACGGATCGGCTCAAGAGCCGCAACTGATGCATCCATGGCCATCCATGGCCCATTGCGTGATGTGTCGAGCAGATCCAGGCTTGGACCACGCCATCAGTCCTTTGCGCGATGTAATGTCTCAGGCCTGCATTCTGTGGCGCTGAATGCCTTGTACCACCGAATGCTGCTAGAGGTATTGACTGATCCCGGCGTGAGCTCCGCGAATGCGGAAGGAACCCTGGCACAGTCCCAAGAAGCGAAGGTCCCTCAGGACAGCACATTGCCCACGTATGCCTATATTCCATGTTGCGTTTGGGCTGCCTGTTGCTACATTGAATCATGCTTGCCGATATCCTCTGAATGGTAACTATAATTGCTTGTGATGAGAGCCTGTCCTACGTTTAAGGAGAAGTGCAGCTCACACACTCTTGGCGCACGTCTTCCTCAAGCATGACAGCTGTACGTATCGGTACGTCCTACAATGTCCTGCGTGTACGGACTTCTCATTCAAGGCTGATATTCACAGCGCCGTGAGCACTGCAACAGCTTGTAGCATGTAATTTTCATGGGTGGCGGCTATGTTTAGGAATTTGCGTTTGTTATTGCTTCTCTATCTATATGTGTATATTACATATATATATATATATTTCTTTCTTTCTTTATATTTATATTTTTGGTTTTCGCCTGAATGGCTTCAAGCGCCGAGTCCGTCAGCCAGTCAGTCGTCCGTCGATCCGCGAGCCCCCGAGTCAGTCGGGGCGTCGGTCGGCATGCGAGCATGCCGGTCTGACGGTCAGTCGGCCCGCCAGTGCTTGAGATTTATGATGAACCGATGTCGCCAAATGAGGGGGTGTGTTCAACATATGTGATGAACCGTTACCGCCAAACGAGGGAGCATGTTGAACATATATGAGGAGCCTGAATCGCCAAAAGAGGGGGTGGGGGCGTGTTCAAGATATATGATGAACCGGAATCACCAAATAAAGCGGCGACGTGTTTAAGATATTATGTGGTGAACCGGTTTCGCCACATGAGAGCGCGTTTCTAAGACACATATGGTGAGCTGGCATCGCCAAATGAGGGGTATGTTCAGCATGCATGATGAACCGGAGTCGCTAAATGAGGGCGTGCGTCTGAGATATATGATGAACCGTTGTCGCCAAATG